CATTTTGTTGGTTGAGAAAAGGTTTTATTGGCTAGCTAGAGGGATGTTGCTAAAGCCATTTTTCAATATCCACGTATTAATTTTAGAAGGTCAGGAAAACAAACAACTGACTTTTTGTAATCGTCTACATGAACTCTAGAAGAATGTGAGGATGGAATCTAAAATTACTTAGGAAATTAAGAAGTTATGATTCTATTTTTGTAATTATGAATATGTTTTCATAAATAGCTTACTTTATCCTTGTAGTAAATAGATGATGCAATACATGTTGCAGTGATATTTAGAGTGGTAGTAAAGCTACATGTGCTGCTTCCTGCCAGTGTCTAATAGAGATGTCAAATTTATAAGTTATTTTTTGGAAGACACTTTGTAAGATTTCTTGTACCTTATTGAAATTTTCTTCAGCTTCTCATAATTGATGGACAAATTTAGATAGTTAATTGTAGTCTTGGTAGTTTCTTTTGGTGTGTTGTAGTAGAGGTACTTGGGATCTAATGTTATCTCCTGCAAAGTTTGCTTGTAACAACTTTGTTAGTTGGTCTAAAATAAAGTCTTTTGACAATTGTTTATGGCTATTCACACGTGAATTTATTGATTTGCCACCTTTTCCTCATGATGTTAACCTTTTTGAACCTATTGAATCATTTCCCCAACATATGCAAAATTTTTCATGTTGAGGTTAGACGTCAAATTACTATGAGATCACAAACTTTTATTCTTGATGTGCATCATAGAGCTAAAGAGTTTAATGTTGATAGTTATGTCATAGTTTGCACTAAACCAAAGCAATACCCTTCCCAAAATAAAAAGCTACATGCTCAAGCGATGGCCCCTTACCCCATTCTTTGAGAATTTGGACCTAATATTTGCTTGATCATACCTATTCATGTGAACACTAGACAGGATTTCGACATTGAAAATTTATTTTCTGACGTGAATAACGTTGAGCCTTCCTGCTTTACCTACTACTGTTTCTGCACGTTTGCAAGTTCCCAGGGCACCAAATTCCTTTAGAGATGTCTTACAGATGCTTCTGTTTCTTCACTTGTGGAGGTCATCGCAAGTTTCCTGTAAAGTAGAAGGATCATCCTGAGTTGGATAATTCATGGGTCACAAAAGATGAAATTTGCATAATGGATTACATCCAACCATTTTTCAAAAAATATCTAAGTTTCCTCTTGAGAGTTGAATCCTTAAGAAGCAGGGGAATAATGTAGGATGATTTAAATTACTAGGATGACATATCCTCCTAGGAGTAGGAATAACTTCTTGGAATATTACTAGTGTAGGACTTTTGATAGTATAAGAATATACCGTTTTCTGTATTTTTGAATACAACTTTTTCTATATTTTCCTTAAGTTGCAGTCTTGTTATCTAAATGTTTTCTTATTAGTTATGTTAGACTATGCAGACACCCTGTAAAAACATAGGTGCTTCATTATTATTTTTCACAACATGCTTATGAATAAACTATATAAATATTTTGCTAATAATTGTCTGATTACTAAATCAGTTTATTTCTTAAGTTAATATGAACTTTTATACGTTAAGGCATATATTAATATGTAGCTACATGTGGGCATCATGCCCCTGAACTGAAGTAGTTATACAGTGTTTTGATAATATTTTGTGGTACTGAAATAATACAGTACTCACTTTTCATTGCACAATGTAACTTCGAAATGTTATTTGAATACTGTTGATTTAAAAATGTTAAAAGTATTATCAAGTTATTATCAAATTTTTACAAAAATATTATTGCACAGTATTATCAAACTATTACAAAACATTAAGAATATGAAGGCATGATTTTCTGGAGGCATCATCGCATTGTCGGTTGGTATTCAATAATAATTCAAAATAATTTTCTAAAAAAATATTTTAAACAAAATTTTATTATTTTTAGACTCAAATCCATTCTTATTATTATCAGTTTCTTAAGATTGTTTTCATTTATATCTACATTACATACTTTTAGATATAAACATATTTGAATGTACGAAATGCAAATCTGAGTACGAAATAGAACTTTTCATCATTTTCAAAGACATGTGAAGAAGATGCATAGTCAGAACGTACTGATACCACTATCCTGTTCATGTCAGGTTCACAAGATTGTGGATCTTTCATCATTTCCAGATAGAGAAGCAATGTGGTATCTGGAGGTCCTTGAGACTTACAAACTGTTCTACAAACCCCTCATTGAAGATTTCATTTAGTTCCTGGAGTCTCGCAAATCTTATTATTGTTTTTTTAGCGTATGAAGTGCGTAAAGGTGATCATTTTCTCTGCCCTTTTCTTTCTTTCTCTATTTCTCTCTTCCAGACTGTATCCCATCCCCCCAAAATTTATGTGGGTGCTGTTGATTTTACCTTAATTGATATATTTTAAGTTGGTACACGTGGATGCCACATGTGATGACATGTGGTATTTATTTATACACATCAGCAAACACATGATTATCGTGAACGGTATTGGTGGATAATAACGGTTAAGAGTGTAATTTGAATACTTTCAGAAATTGAGAATTAATTTTCAGTAGTTGATGATGAAGTCAAATACTTTAAAGTTTAAATAAACTTGCATTCAAGTTCAAGTGATACAACAAATGTTTAGGACACTTATATAAATGAATCCTTGATTCCTTGATTTAACAGGCTTTCAAGTCTGTATTGATTGTGTAAAGTGGAAAGGGACAAACACAATAAGAATAAGTGCCAACAGAACTTGATATGTCTTAGAACTAATTCATATGGGATATTTCTGGATCATTCCCTACGAATCAAGCTATGCTACCATTTTTATATTTCTCTTTATTAAACACAAAAACTCTTCCATCCATGAAATTTAGTCTCATAAAAATATCCCTACAAAAACTGAGGCTTGCGGGATAATAAAATCAAAACTCACTATTAATAAATTCTTATAATATTACTTGATATGCAACAAAAACTTCTATGAGCAATTTTATTTGGCACAATTGTCATCCCTAAACTCTTACTTGACATAAAATAAAAATCATAACACTAAACAAACTTTTACTTGGCACGTAATAAAATTTTTATTAAAAAGTTTGATAGTAATATAAATGCAATAAATTTATTTATATAAGACAGATAATTATGTGTTAAAACATTCATTATATTAGGAAAAAATGAGATCCAACACCTTTAGTATGACATTAAATAAAAGTCTATCTAATAAGATGATATTTATGTCACATTAATTGTATGACTAAAAATATTTCCAAGACATAGTTAAATCAAATTATTTATACCTCCTCAAATTATATTAACATTGATTATCCAAAAGATGTTAATCATATATGAATTACATGAATATCAAATTCACTTGAGGAATATAAATATAACATATTTGACATCATACAGAAGACATTATCACTGAAACTTATAGCAATCCAAGCTCACAACCTTTCCTTACCCGAGTTCCACCAAAGGTAATCAAAATCGCTGATGTGAACTCTTACCTGCACACTGCAGATCGGATACCTTGCCATGTTCATCCGAACAGCTGATTGCTGCTTCTATTGGTTCCAGAGAGTGCAGTCAGAAGCAAAGTGCAGCTGATAACCTGCCATGTTTCTGGTAGCAAAATTTTGTAGTACTACTTTGCTTTGCTTTTGGTATTTAGCGAGTAGGGTCGGACAATGACAGACGTAGTTGAACAGATTTTGAGGAAGATGAACTCATGTTAGAGAATTCAGCATTTCAGCTCCGGCAGAAAGAAAAAGGCATTAGTTCCTAAAAGAATAAGAAATAAATAAATATTAATGGAGATGAAAAGATTTATTCACGTAACGAAATCTAGCACAAGAAACAAGCCCTTTAATACAGTTTAAGTGTAGCAGCAACAAGTGAAGTTCAAAGTACAACGTAGAAATCCTAATATATGACCATGACTCCTGTGACTCTCCGAATACCAAACAACCAACTCCTCTTTTCTCTTGGTGGTTGCATGGGATGTTTGCCTGGAAAGAATGGCCTCGTCAAATCATCATTTTGACTTGCCATTATCAACTAGTGACTCATATTAATAATATATATAAATATATATATTGTATATCATTAAAGTTACTATTACTGAAAAAGTGTCAGTCTTATTTTTTGAATAGAATTTAAATCTGCATCTATATTTTATATATTACTAAAAAGATCTCTGTTGAATCCTTATTTCTTTAAATAAATCTATAAGTTTTAAATATATATAACAATAAAAATCTGAAATCAATTAATTCAAATAAGAAATGTGACTTTTAAAAAAAATCTTAATTTACAAATTAAATGATAATAAGTGTACTTTTCTAAAACTAAAATGAACAACATAACCTACTAACAACTTATTTCATTGGTTAAATAGGTTTGGAATAATGGTATAATGTAACGGTTATTATTACATCGAATACTCGTATAACTGAGTTTGATTCGTTGAATCACATTTTTTATAAAATTGTGATTATAACCTCTTCATAATTCCACTTTTTTTATTTTGAATCAACTATACCCTCAATATAGATCATTATATGACTAATATCTCATCATTTTTATCAAATAAATTATTATTAAAACCTAATTGAAACATTTCTTATCTCAAATAAATGTTAAATTTTATATATATTAGAAACTGCCAATATATGAGTTTTTAAAATTAAATTTTAAGTTACATTCCGATCAGTCAAATTTTTGTTAAGATTACTTAAAAAATTATATGAAATTATTAGTTTTTTTATCTAATATTAGAGAGATTTAACTACTAATTATTAATTATTAGGAGAACATCAGTTAGAAAGTTGGCAGTGGAGATTAAATTGTGATAAAACTCCTGGTTGGAGAGTGGTACTCTAAGGACTAGGTTTCCACAAATCTATGCTATTGCTCAGAGGAAGAATATCAAGATTTGTGAATCCACTGTGGAAGATAGTGGAGGGATAAAGGAATGGCAAGTGCTTGTGTTGAGAAACCTAAATGATTGGGAGATTGGTGAATTCGAGGAACTGTTACATATCCTTTCTCTTATTACTTTTAATGAATATGCTAACATCTCTTAGTGGAAGTTCGCAGCGAATGATTTGTTCACAGTAAAATCTTTCTACAAGAATCTGTTTAAGTATGATGAATGTGGAAGTATATTCCCTTACCGGCAAATGCGGAAGCCAAGATCAGCCCCTCGTGTTTTGTTTTTTGGCCTGGGAGGCGTGCAGGAAAATGTTGCCTAAATATTGTCAAGTTGAGAAAAAGGGGAAAGATTCTGGTTAATGAGTGCTATTTTTGTAAAAGGGCTGAAGAGACTTAGTAATCACGTTTTGCTCTAGTGCCCTGTTATACACAAGTTATGTATTTACTTGGGATCAGTTGGGTTATGGCAGGTTAGGTGAGAGAAGAAATTTGGGCATAGAAAGGCATATGCAGCCGTAGGAAGCAGATGGAGATCATTCCTCTTATCATATTTTGAGTGATGTAGAAGGAGAGAAATAGGAGAGCTTTTGATGGAATTGATGATGTTAATGGTTTTGAATATATTTAAGAATAGATAGTTCTAAACCTTTGGTTTTTTATTACAAAATCATCAATTTTGTTTTATAGAAGATTTATCAAATCTTGTGGATAATTTAATAGACATGTAAATTCTTCTGTACATGGGTGTCACCCTTTTGGTACCTATAGTAATTTACTTCACTGTCTATATTTAAAAAAAAAACATTTCAGGCTAATTATATAATCTGTATATTATGAGCTAGAAAGTAGTTTATATAAGTACACTCTTGAAAAACATTCTCTTTGGCCAAAGATTACCAGGAAAATAAAAAGCAGGACAAAATAAATAGTGGTTCTCCAAAATTTAGTATTCACCACGATAAACCTTTCTCCTCCTCGCCCTTCACTCAAGTATTTTCATAGAGATGCCACTTGCATGGCGATACCATGGAATCTCCATGCTAAACATTTTCATTTTATAGGTAAAAGATCTGTAAGTTTCTATATGCCCAGTAGATTGAATGGTGTTCAAAAGTAAGCATTTCGTAACTAGTTAAGCATTGCTACAAGGAACTAAGGGCAATGGCAGAGAGAGAGGAGCTTACTCGGTATATTTGCGACAGCATTCCAACAGCCTATCAATATTCACTTTGCTTGCTTGCCATTCACACGTCTGATTGCCATCTAGATGATCCTTAGGATCACTCCACTTATTTAAGATACAGATTATCCTTCGAAGCTGTTAACAAGTCAAGGACAACAAAATAACCCCAAAAACAGTATGTGAAGAAGTAGAAAGACAAAAATAATTGGTGGCTATATAGTACTCGCAGGTGTCACAAAGCATATATGTGTATGTATATATATATATAATTATTTTTTAAAAATGGTATATTGGTAAATATGCCTATGTTAATTAAGTGTTTGAGTAGGACTAATGTTTTCTTTTTTGTTTTTCTCCTAAAGTTGTATACACAGGGGGCAAATTATTCAATAATAAAAATAGCATTCTATTTCCCACATGATATCAAAGCTATATGAGGGGAAAAATTCCTCCTTGTTTCCAAACCCTAAACCGGTCTTTATTGCCAGAATAAACTCCTGCCAAAACCGACCTTCACTGTCATCTTACATCCAGTCACTGCCTATAATATCTACTACATCCACTATATCCATCACAATTAGGAAAAGAATTATGGGATGTACTAAACACCCATTATATCTATTTCCGAAGTTCTTATCCTTTGAAAAGTATTCACTATCTCACAAAAATTGTCTATTCCTATTATATTATTCGAGATATTATCTTATGAAAATTTTAAAAAAATCTATAAATATGAAAATGCAGCCATTAAAAAAAGATAAAATATAAGAGGTGGTAGATCTACCTGAAGGAAAGAAATCAGTGGGATATAAGTGGGTGTTTATTGTAAAGTACAGAGCTGATGATATCATCGAAAGATATAAAAGCCAGATTACTAACCAAGGGACATACACAAACCTATCAAATAGATGATGAATAGACTTTTGCACCTGTTGCTAAGATAAACATAGTTTGAGCAGTACTGTCACTAGCAACTAATTATGACTGATAACTTTAACGTTTGGTATAAAGAATGTCTTCTTACATGAAAATCTCAAGAAAAATGTATCGAAAAAGATTCCACTAAAAATTCACGGTCTAGTCTGTCCGAGCCGAGTTGATATGACCCGAGCCTAAGCCGATCCAAGCCGAGCTCGAGCCAAGCTGAGCCGCTGCCCTAAACAAAGCTGAGCCATCCGCTCCTGAGCCAAGTTGAGCCGAGACAAGCCAAGCTAAGTCGTTGCCTTGCCAGACAAATCTACTTCTTTTGTACGCAAACTGCTCCGACCAGCCTTTTATAGTCCTTTTTCGGCTCCTCCGCGCGTGGATGCCTCTGATTTTGCGACCAGGCCTTTTTCGCGCGCGAGCCGCTTCGACCAGTCTTTTCTAGTCCTTTTTTCGATTCTTCTATATGCATCCGCCTCTAGTTTCGTGATCCGACACAAATCCACTTTCTCTGTGCACGAGCCCCTCTAACCAGTCTTTTCTAGTTCTTTTTTGGGCTACTCGGCGCATGTATGCCTCAGGTAGAAGGCAGGATAAATCTTCAGAATTTGATCTGCAAGTTGGGCATGAGTGATATCATTGCACCAACTTTAGGGGGGATATTGACTAAGTTATTTTATTATTTAATTATTTTAATTTATTATTTAATTAATTTATTATGATGTAATTAAAATTCTATGAGAAAAATAATCCCATATAACTAGAATCCTATTAGAATAAGAATTTTCTTATTAATAGGTTAAAAATTCTATAAATACTCTAAATATAACAATATAAAGGGTAAGAGAAAATAAAATTTATTTTTTTCTCTCCAAAATTCAACACTTATTTATCTGTTACATACAAGGCTACACATTGCATATACAACGAGTATAATAAGTTAATTCATAGACGACCCAAAGAATAACACCTGCATGCAGCTTACCGAGGGTTACACTTGCATGTAGCTTTGAATGTTAACTTATCTAAAAAGATCCTCCAAAAGAGGTATATAGTTCAAAAGAAATACCATATTAGTCTTGGAAGCCTATATGCTAAGTATGTTAGGACAACAGTGGGTAGAAGATCTAATACATGCTACTATATCTTTCTTAGAGAAAATTTTGTTATATGGAGAAGCAAGCAAATACAAGATCAGAATTCAAAAAAATGGCAAAGGGATATGGGAGCTTATATGGTTAAAGATTATCTTAGAAGATTTGAAAATTAAGTGGGATGATATGATGAAACTCTATTGTAACAACAAAGCTGCTATCAGTATTGTCCACAATCCACTATAACATCATAAGACCAAGTACATTGAAGTTGATAGATATTTTATCCAAAAAAAAAAACTAAACAATGGTTTGATCTACACACCCTATTTGCCTTCTACTCTCGTTTCGCAGATATGCTTATCAAAGATTTGAACAATCTAACATTTCAAAGAATCACTACCAAGTAGGGAATGAATAATGTCTATTCACCAACTTAAGAGAGAGTATTGAAACGTGTACATATATACATATAATTATTTTGTAAGAATGGTATTATCGGTAGATCTATGCAATAAGTGTTTGGATAGGATTAGGTTTTCCTTTTTATTTTTCTCCCAGAGTTGTATACATAAGGGCAAGTTACTCAATAATAAGTATAACTTTCCATTTACCAACTTACCTTATATGAGTTGTGTAGAAAATCCATAGAAAGGGAATTTGGTTTAATTTCTGTTTGCCTAATGGGAGGAATCATCACACGGTCAAGGTGTGTCCGGTAACCATATATTGTTATTCCTTTCCCCCATAAAGTTGTTAGGAATTGGTTGCGTTCCTTTCCTATAAATAAGCAACTCACGGTGAAGGAAATAAGAAAAGGGCAAGAGAATTTTTCCATTCTCAACACTACATGGTATCAGGTCAATTTTGATCCAGGAGCTTCATTCCCGACTGAGTCGAACTCACAGATGGCCACGGTTGAGCTACCGTCTTCTCAAACCGAAGTTTCCTCGGGTTCCTATCTTCCCGCACCCGTCACCCTAGTTTGGTTGAACCTCTTCGTCATTCATTACCGGGCACAAACTAAGCGGCAACAACTATCTTCAGTGATCATCATCGGTGCTGCTATTCATCCGGGACAAAGGCAAAGATGAATACCTCACCGGCGAAATCGTACCACCACCTGCCAACGATCCGAATGCTTGAACATGGAAAATCGAAAACAGGATGGTTATGTCATGGTTAGTAAACTCGATGACACATGAAATTGGAGAGAATTTTCTCCTTTATGAGACCACGCATGAAATCTGGGAAGCGTCTCGAAAATTCTACTCCAGTAAGGAGAATACTTCTGCCATCTTCAAAATTGAGTCTAACCTCCACGACGACAAGGTGAGTTAAACGTAACCCAGTAATACAATACTCTAACTCGCAGCTGGCAGCCACTTGATGTGTTTGAAGAATATTGTTGGAGTTGTCCCGAAGATGTCAAACTCTTCAAATCGATTATTGAGCATAAGTTAATTTTTAAGTTCCTAATGGAATTAAACAAAAACTGGATGAAGTGCGAGGACAGGTATTGGGAATCAAACCGCTGCCAAACATCCGCAAGGTGTTCTTCGAGATTCGGCGGGAAGAAAGCTAAAAAAAAGTGATAATGGGAGACGTGCAATCAATTCACCTAACCGAAAACGCTTCTGCGCTTACAACCAGAACACTAGATTCACGTGGGAAGATGGGACGACCGTGGTGTGACCACTACAGGAAACCCGGTCACACACGCGAAAAATGCTGGAAACTTCATGGAAGATCTGGTGACAGAAAGACCTCCAAGTCTGAAAACCCCAACGACTACCAAGGGAATCATGCAACCTCTGAAGACACTCTACTGACCGCTGCGGAAAGCTGCCCATTTAGTCCAAAACAGATGGATACTCTCCAAAAAATGCTTTCTCAGAAGAATCATCTCATCAGTGCTTCGGTAGCACATAAACGTAAAATTTTCCTTGGTTTATCAGCTTGCTCTGCCAAAAGGCAAGTTTGAATTGTGAACTCCGGGGCATCCGATCACATGACGGGTGATGCTTCACTGCTCCAGTAGTACACTCGTGTAAGGAAGGGTTCACAATCAGAATTGCTGACGAGTCCATTTCTAAATGCAGAATGGGTTCTGT